CAGGCATATTGCTACCTGGCGTTCCTGTGACGGTGAGGTTGTGGACAGCTGCATTTCTGATGGTCAGGCATAGTGCTGCCTGGGGTCCATGGTGAGGCTGAGGCTTTGGACGGTTCAGATGGGCAGACACAGTGCTACATGGGGTCTCTTGTGAGGCTGAATTTTTGGAGAGTTGAGATGGGCAGGCACAGTGCCACCTGGGTTCCTGGTGAGGCTGAGGCTTTGGACAGTTGCATTTCTGATGGACAGGCACAGTGCTACCTGGGGTCCCTGGTGAGGCTGAGTTGTGTGGACAGTTTAGATGGGCAGGCATAGTCCTACCTGGGGTCCCTGGTGATCCTCAGGTTGTGGACCGTTCCCATGGGCAGACAGTGCTACATGGGGTCCCTTGTGAGGCTGATTCTGTGGACAGTTGAGATGAGCAGGCACAGTGCTACCTGGGGTTCCTGGTGAGGCTCAGGCTTTGCACAGTTGCATTTCTGATGGGTCAGCATAGTGCTACCTGGGGTTCCTAGTGAGGCTGAGGCTGTGGACAGCTGCATTTCTGATGGGCAGGCACAGTGCTACCTGGGGTCCCTGGTGTGTCTGAGGCTGTGGACAGATCAGATAGGCAGGCACAGTGCTACCTGGGGTCCCTGGTGAGGCTGAGGCTGTGGACAGTTCAGATAGGCAGGCACAGTGCTACCTGGGGTCCCTGGTGAGGCTGAGGCTGTGGACAGCTGCATTTCGGATGGGCAGGCACAGTGCTACCTGGGGTGCCTTGTGAGGCTGATTCTGTGGACAGTTGAGATCGGCAGGCACAGTGCTACTTGGGGTTCCTGGTGAGGCTGACGCTGTAGACAGTTGTATTTCTGATGGACAGGCACAGTGCTACCTGGGTCCCTGGTGAGGGTGAGGCTCTGGACAGTTGCATTTCGGATGGGCAGGCACAGTGCTACGTGGGGTCCCTTGTGAGGCTGATTCTGTGGACAGTTGAGATCGGCCGGCACAGTGCTACCTGGGGTTCCTGGTGAGGCTGAGGCTGTGGACAGCTGCATTTCTGATAGGCAGGCACAGTGCTGCCTGTGGTCTCTGGTGAGGCTGAGTGTGTGGACAGCTGAGATGAGCAGGCATAGTCGTACCTGGGGTCCGTGGTGAGGCTGAGGCTGTGGATGGTTCAGATGGGCAGACACTGTGCTACATGGGGTACCTTGTGAGGCTGATTCTGTGGACAGTTGAGATGGGCAGACACAGTGCTACCTCGCGTTCCTGGTGAGGTGGTGGCTGTAAACCACTGCTTTTCTAAT